ACTGATTCGGCTTATTCGGGACGGAACGAAGGATCAAGTATTCCGAGACTCAATAGGCTATTCTGGTCCGTTGTCCCCGACTCAGCTAATTCAATCAAGAAGTCTCGGTAAGACATAGACGTGTATTCTACGGGTAATCAGCAGATACCAGGTCAGGTCAGGTCAATCAGGCACACAAATCAAGCATATTTATACAAATATTTATAATCGATATTGTCATGGTAAAACTTTCTAAACATTACTCAATAAGTTAATCAATCGACTGCCATTCAATCATTTAAACATTTAATGGATAAGATAAAATCACAAAATATGAGTGTTGGGGATCTATCGTCCCCAACATGTTTGGCCGCCTATAACTTTCTTCCAACCATCCCCAACACTAGTCAACATTGAGAGTCGTGGTAATTGGTGTTCAGGTATACGTAACACGCGACCCAACCATCTCAGCCGATGAAGATTCACAACCTCATCAACTGATTTACCATCATTCCCTGTTACCCTGCGCCTAACCCTACTATTACTTACCCAGTGATTCCAACAGATGAGAGTAATATTTCTAGGACATCTGTGGTCAAATACTGGTAACTTATGAGTATCTTCTACTCTTAATGGCCAAAACCTAATCCTGCCACCCTCTACAACTTGGGTGATGAACCTAGTCTTTCAATTCGCTATAACTATATTGTTAGGTCTAGTACTAAATAAGCTTCGAGTCTCTATGGCGAAAATAGGTGGATGCATTCGCTTTAGTCGCATGCTGGCTAGATTATTTTATAGAGGAGTTTTCAGCCATGCCTAAGCATATAAAGTGTGTCGGTTCTGACGGAAACACTCAACATATATCCATAGGCAAGTTATCAAACAACACAAATGGATTTACTCAGTCATTTAAAATTTCGTGAGAGATGTTGGCGAAAACAACACTTTTTCTCAAAAGTGTTGAGGATTTCCCCCAAACAAATTTTGGAAAAATTTCTTTATTTATTTGAACACATAAATATTGGTACAAGAGAGCGCCAATATATATGCGCCACACAAAGCAATGAGAATTCGAAAAGAAAGAAAGGTAAGGAGTGTGAAAAAAAGAAAAGAAGGAGAACAATAAACAAGAGGTTGGTGTAAGGTGGTGTAGTAATAATGAGGGAACGGAAAGGTACAATCGAAAGAAATCTTTCAGTTAGGGAAGACACAACCACTTTTTATGAAGAAAGTAAAAGAAGGTTACAGCAGGATCGCCACTGTCTTCTATTCTGAGCCATATCTGATAACGTCTCTAGCCACTGTGTAGCAGCATCTCTCGGACCCCAACCAGGGAGTCGTGAAGGACCAACAGAAGCCAGTCCTTTGCAGCTTTCTTTCATGCCACGACACCATGTCATGCACTGACCGCCTCTCCGCTTCTTCCAACCAGTCCCAAAGTCGGCAAATAATGCACGACGTGGAATTCTCTGGGACGACATTCGTAGAACATGTCCAAGCCACCGAAGTCGGTGTTTCAAGATGGTGACATCGATTGCATTATCATCTCTGTGCCCGAACACACGATGCCGAACCTCTGGTTTACTGACATGGTGTTGCCACTGGATGTCAGCAATCCTTCAGAGACAGCGATGATAGAACACAGAGAGTCTTCTAACGTCCTCAACTCAGAGAGGCCAGGTTTCAGAGGCATAGAGTAAAACTGCTCTCACCGACGCGTTGTAGGTGCGACCTTTTACAGCCAGAATAACATAACGAAGGCGCCAAAGATGGCCCAGATTGGTATAAGCCGCTCTGGCTTTCACTATACGTGGATTGATCTCATCACTCACAACCCCACCAGCACTTATGCAACTACCTAGATACACGAACTTCTCGACTACTTCTATCTGCTCACCATCCAGGGTGAGTACAGGATTAGAATCCTGCCAGTCTTGTAGAAGTACTTTGCACTTCGAAGGTGCAAAGCACATACCATACTTACGGACACTGATTGCCAACTGATTAAGTGCGGATTGCATGCCTTGGGCATTATCACACAGTAAGACAATGTCATCCGCATACTCAAGGTCGAGAAGTCTTTCTCCAGGCAACAGATCCACACCACCATTACTTACATCCATCAGAGCTGTTTCCAGAATGTCATCGGTGGCAAAGTTGAAGAGGAATGGTGAGATTGGGAAACCCTGCCTAACCCCACTGCTCGAATGGAACAATGGAGAGAGGTGGTTGTGTGCCCTCACTCTGCCTGAGGTGTTTTTATACAGGGCTTTTAGGATGTTAATAAACTTCTCAGGCACACCCTTCTTCAATAGACAATCCCAGAGAACAGTCCTATCCAACGAATCGAAGGCAGCCCTGGTGTCAAGAAACACTACGATTGTTAGCCTTTGATAAGTATGGCGGTGTTCTAACATTTGGCGGAGGGTGAAGATATGATCAATACATCCTCGACCAGAACGAAACCCAGCCTGCTCCTCGCGAGTCAATCTTTCTCGGGTTTTGAACAACCTACGAAGTATGACGAAAGCCAATAGCTTGGACGCAATCGGAAGTAGACTTATCCCCCGATAGTTGTTACAGGGACGAGGTGAACCCCTTTTAAAGATAGAAACAACTATCGACTCATTCCATGACGTTGGTACACTCTCTAGTGCCCAAAACTTTGTAAACAACGTCGTCAATTCCTTAGTCAGAAAGTCACCACCATCTTTAAAACGAGCCGGAGGTAAGTCATCTGAGCCAGGTGATTTGTGACGCTTCAAGAGTTGGAGTTCCTTGCGGACTTCCGCCTCATTTGGTGGATCAGTCGTCACCGGCCATGGGGGGCAGGAGAGTCTGACCGATGTTGCCGGGGCAGCAGCCCAGTTGAACTGCCCTTCGAAAAATTCTGCCCATCGTCCAAGACGTCGATGGATGTTAGTGATTGGCATCCCATCATCCTCGCAGATTGTTTCGCTCACACCGGACTTCTTGCTGCCAGTGGCTTGGATGAGTTGGAAGAGCTTCCGGTAATTACCAGATGCAGTTGCTGCTCCCAACTCATTAGCACGCTCCGACCACCAGGCTTCTCGGTCCTTACGCAAGCTTTGCCCGATTTCCTTACGTAACATCCTTCGTTTGTGTTCAAACTCACGGTCACCCGGAGTAGACCGACGGGCTTCAATGAGTTGTAAGGAACCTGAAGAAACCCAGTGCATATAAGCGGGACGTTAGAGAGTTTATCGCAAATGATGAACTCTCTATTTCGAAAAAAGCTCCATATGAAAAGAAATTTTGGCGTTTTTCTTTAAGAGCTCCCCAAAAATAAGGAGATTGGATCATATTAGGCCTTGTATAATTGAAATACCTATTTGATATTTGATGGAATTTTCAATCGCTTTTGATGAAACATGTTCTGTATCTTCAAAACCGAAAATTTTTAAGCCCCTCCGATGTCTTCCGGAAGATGTCAGCTAACGATATTTAATAAAATATGGTACCATTCAAGCTGATATCATTCTATAATAAGAACTAGTCGGGGTGACTATCCAATCTATCGGCTGTTACTACCACACCTCAAATATATTCAGCATTCGGATTCTGTTCACGATTCTAAGTCAACTGTACGGCCTAGTAGGTTTCTAATTTAAACCATGCTGGAACAGTGGTCAACTGACAATAGTATTTAAGTTTTAACCATTGGGTCACAATGAAATTCTACTTTTTCTTGTTGTACTTAAGGAGTCGATTAGTAGTATCAGATATCGCACATAAATCGTTACTTCAAACCGCGTACGCAAACCTGTTCTTGATAGATGATCATAATAAGACTCTAAATCACAAACGATTTTTGCATTCATTATCAATAAAAAAAATTTTTTTCAGTCATCCTGAAAATCGTCAGTGAAGGTCAACATGGATTTATTGTGATCATCAATGACAACTGAAAGACTATTTGATAATATAAGCATCAAGCCTGGACTTATTGTATTCGACTTGGGTTAGTTTCTTTTGCTACATAAGTGATAAAAAACCATCAGATTGCACATTATGGCCGTTTGACTGTGACATTTACGATAGTCAAGTTTTTCACAAAAAGTAAGTTTGTGCGTTCATCTATCATTGTTAATAGTGGTGATATGATTTATGATGAAAATAATTACCCACTAAATATACTTCAAGATTCAAATAATATATTGAAATCTATCAAACAAGAAAAGGATGTACTATTGGCATGTGCTTCAAGGTTAGTTTCTTGGTTCTCAAATGTTAGTTTTATTTCAACATTATAATAAGAGTAGTATATGAATTAGTATAAATGGGTTTGCGGAAATTAGTGAGTTTCTTCGTGTACATCACAAATTGACTTTAGACAACCACTGAAAACTAGGAAGCAATGTACAGATGTTTTGTCCTAGCACGGGACCTCGCAACAATGACCATCCGTGACCTCACCAGAAACCATCAGGTTTACATTTAGACCCTCAAGTTAGGATCTAACGCTTTACATTTCTAGCTTTGATATTTCTTAACTATCTTCCAGTGCTGTTCGTGGGTAAACATCTAAACCACTGAACCACAACTTCAAACTAATTGTGATTAAAGTAGTTGTCTAAATGTATCGATGGGAATAGTTAGGAAATGTACTGCCTATGCTTGGCTATTACTTAGTTTGGATAGAGTCAAAATGAAGAACTTTCAGAATACTGTTCATGAAATATTGTGCCGTTTTTTATAAAAAAAAAACAAATTCACTCCTTAGATTTAGAAGCCTAGTTAGTACAACTTATTAATTACGAACAAATCAATCCGTCTCGGTGCAAGCCATAGACTTTGTGTAAAGACTACTAATAAAACCGAAGCTGACAGAACCGAATTTCATCCTACAACCTGATGACTGTAAGTCAAATGCTTTAACTCACTTATTTACACTTAGAAAACCATCATTATTTAAAGTGTTGGTTATAAATATTACTTTAAAAAATCGATGACAATAATATAAATGTACTAATCGTTCGGTCTTTTAAAAGTACTATTGTGGTGCGTGCTACTTATATTGATATAAGTAGTATATAACGTGAGTCAAAAGAACGTAATGGCTGGCAGCAGAAGATGGAGAAGATCAAGAAAGAAGAGCGAGAAAACAATGGAATTTGTAAGAAATCGCATGAGCAATGAAATGCGAGACAATGGATTGATGTTTGCAACAGCAACAGCCCGGTTTGATATGATAGAATGATATTTTGCAAATTAACGATTTACTATATAGTTTTTCTATTTTACCAAGTAATTCTGTAATTTGTCCTAAATACAATTTGGCTGTCCTCACCCGTGTTCTTCGTCACTACATTTGGTGTCGCTGCCTCCACTGAGGATGAAGATCCCATGGCCGAAGGAGTTTGAGGACGGAGATGTGCTGAGCTTCCTGAAGGAGTTTGAGGCCGTGGCGGAGCTGGTGGGAGTGAAGGAGCCGAAGGCGAAGTTGGTGGTGCTGGGGACGCTGCTGAGAGGCAGGGCTAAGGCTGTGTATGACAGCCTGGACGGTGCTGGCGGGAAGACCACATGGGAGGCAGTCACGGAGCGGTTGGCGGCGGAGTTTGACAGCCCAGTGGACAGAGAGGACGCGCTGCAGAAGTTCCGGTTGGCGAGGTTGCCGGTCGATGGGGACCCACTGGTGCTGGCTGTGGAGCTTACCAGATTGTTACGCCGTGCGCTGCCGAGTCTGGATGAGGAGTCGGAGGCACAGTTGTTGGCGTCACAGTTTATCGAGAGTGTGCCTGCCACTGTCTCCCAACAGCTGAAACTGGTGAACGCAGCGCAACCGATGGATATCAGTGAACTGGCGAAGGTGACTCGTCAGCTGATGACGCGAACAGTAGCTCCGGTCGGGTGCGGAAAGCAGGAGATGAGTAATGTCGAGAAGAAGATTGAGGAGCTGGAGCGCGAGATTGCAGCAATACGAGTGAACAATAAAAGGAACGATAAATGTTACGCTTGTGGAGGGACAGGACATTGGAAGATAAACTGTCCAACAAGACGAAGACGCAGATATGTTAGACGTTACAACGAGTGTTCTTTCTATCCTAGGAATCTGGGGATTGTTGCGTTAGTAGACAGAGGGGCAGTATATACGAGAGTGAACATAAATGAGCGAGATTTAGTTTGTCTGATCGATACAGGTGCAGCAGTATCGTTAATAGGCAAAGAGCAATGTAAGAGAATCAAGCCGTGTGCATTAGCTGTCCACACGATAGGGGGCCATATGTTAGAGGTGTTTGGTGTATCTAACAGTATCGTAAAAGTGGGGGATGCGGAGATAAATTTTCCGTTCGTCGTAACCACAAGCTTATCGAGACCGATATTAGGAGCAGATTTCCTAAGAGAAGTAAAAGCGATAGTTGACTTAAGAAGCGGTAAGGTGGTCACGAAGTATGGTTCATTGACAATACACGAAAGTAGCGAAGTGGCTGAAATAAGAGTTGCAGCGGATGTCTCGTCAAAGAAACCAAACATTCACGAGTTATGCAAAAAGTATGCGAAACTATTCACTGGAGATGGGGAGCCGTATGGATTTTGTGACAGAGTAAAGCACGAAATACCGATAAAGAACAGTCGAGTAAATATATTTGCAACACGTCGTGTCCCGGTGCATTTAGAGGCCGAGGTAAATCGTCAGGTTCAGGAAATGTTAAAAGAAGGTATAATTGAGGAAGCGGACAGCCCATATAGCTCGCCGGTACTCTTGGTAAAGAAACCAAATGGAAAGTATAGATTTTGTGTCGACTTCAGAGAATTGAATAATATAACAGACCTGAAGCCTTGTGCAATGCCAACAGTGGTGGAAACATTAGATCGGCTACAGAATGCCACGGTGTTTACAGTGCTGGATTTACGGTCAGGTTATTGGCAACTGCCTATAAAAGAGAGTGATCGGAGCAAGACAGCGTTTACTGTACGTGATAAACAGTATCAATTTAAACGAATGCCGTTCGGGTTGGCGGGTGCACCGTTCACGTTCAGAAGATTAATGACACTACTGCTCAAGAATCTAGATAATGTCGAGGTATATGGCGACGACGTAGTTGTGTACAGTCAAACAGAAACAGATCACATCAAACATGTGGAAGCGGTCTTAAAGCGAATTGACGAATTTGGACTTCGCATTAATAAGGACAAGTCGCAGATAGCGAAAAGTAGCGTCACATTGTTGGGACATAAAGTGGGAAATGGAGAAATAAAACCATTGCCGGAGAAAATTCTTACCATAAAAAATATTGCAGTACCTAATTCGAAAAGGAAGTTGAGACAGTTCCTGGGAAGAGCGGCGTTCTACAGTCGGTTTGTCAAAAATTTCAACGAAATAGCAGCACCCTTATATAAGTTATTGAGCAGCACCAAGTTTACGTGGACTGAGACTGCCGAACAAACGTTCAACCGAATCAAAAACATGCTAGACGATCGCCAGATGACGCTTAGACTGCCTGAACCGGGAAGACTGTTTACAGTGGCCACAGACGCGAGTGATCATGGTATAGGTGCTGTGTTGAGTCAGGCTGATAGAGTGGTGGAATACGCGAGTCGCGTCCTCACACCTGCTGAACAGAAGTATTCAACCATCGAAAAGGAGTGTTTAGCGATCGTGTGGGCAGTGGAAAAATGGAGACCATACCTTTTAGGTAGACGATTTCACATTGAGACCGACCATAAACCCCTGCAGTGGTTGAAAACAGCAAGAGACCCCCGAGGGAAGTTGGCGCGATGGATGATACGCCTGCAAGAATACGATTTCAGTATCGGCCATGTTCCAGGAAAAGAAAACGTAATGGCAGATTACTTGTCAAGACCAGACATGGAAGCCGACCTGCCATTAACAGCATACGCGGTGAATAGTTTAGAGGGAGACCCATTAGAACTCGTCCGGCAGCAGAAAGCTGACCCTAACCTTCGAGAGGTAATCAGAGTGATAAAAGAGGGAGCAGACGTAGATAAACGAACAATGGACAAGGAGGTAATAACGCTGCTTCGGCAAAAGGACCGACTGAGAGTGAACTCATATGGAGTGCTGACCTGGCAGGACGATGATGAGAATTGGGTGGCGGTGATCCCGAAAGACTGGCGGCGTAAAGTGATACACGAGTGTCACCAGGTAGCACATACAGGCATCGCAAGAACGACGGACTTACTACGACAAACTGCATACTGGCCGAGCATGAGAGACGATGTGGCTGAATACGTGTTAACCTGCCAGCAGTGTCAGCTAATGAAAAGCGATCGATACATACAACCGCCATTACAGTCAATTCCAGTAACCGCAGTCGGTGATCTATGGTCGGTTGATGTGATGGGACCGTTTCCACAGACGGCGAGCGGTAACCAGTACCTGTTAGTGATGACGGAACATGCTACACGTTGGGTAGATGCCGTACCCATTGCAGACCAGCGGGCAAGGACAGTGACCGAGGTGGTAATCCGGCATATTGTAGCGTGTCACGGAATACCGAAGATGATATTAACTGACCAGGGTCCCTGTTTTGAAAGTGACGAGTTTAAAGCCCGTTTAAAGCAGTTTGGCATCAAGAGAATACGAACTACACCATATCATCCTCAGACAAACGGGCTTACAGAGAGAAACAATCGGACGTTAAAGGAATGGTTAGCATCAAAAGGAGGAAATTGGGAGAAAGAGTTACCATTGATTTTGCTGGCACATCGTTCCTCAACACAAGGAACAACCAAGAAGTCACCTTTCTTGCTCATGTATGGCAGACAACCACGACTTCCAATGCATAATAAGACCTGGCCACAACAACAGAAGTGGACGACAACAAGGTTAAGAAAAGAGAGGAGAGAGGCAATAAGGAACGTGGAAAAGAAACAAATATCAGACACAAAGAAGGCAGAACAACAGCGGAGAACGTGGAAACCCTTTGCAGTGGGGGACCTAGTAAAGTGTAGAGAACGGAAAAGTAACATAGCAGGGGGAGCAGGGCCGGGGAAGCTGGCCCCAAAATGGGAAGGACCGTATGTAATCACGGAAAGACGCGGCTCGGTCTACACGATCCGGAGAGAAGACAAGCAGAAGCGCGTAAATGCTAGTCAACTACAGAGATGGTTTCAAGATCATCATGGGTGTGAATCACGAAAAGCACCAAAGAACACAGCGGTACGGAGATCAGAAAGACTACGACAGCAACTTGTTAAAAGGGGGGACGAGTGTGGTGCGTGCTACTTATATTGATATAAGTAGTATATAACGTGAGTCAAAAGAACGTAATGGCTGGCAGCAGAAGATGGAGAAGATCAAGAAAGAAGAGCGAGAAAACAATGGAATTTGTAAGAAATCGCATGAGCAATGAAATGCGAGACAATGGATTGATGTTTGCAACAGCAACAGCCCGGTTTGATATGATAGAATGATATTTTGCAAATTAACGATTTACTATATAGTTTTTCTATTTTACCAAGTAATTCTGTAATTTGTCCTAAATACAATTTGGCTGTCCTCACCCGTGTTCTTCGTCACTACACTATTACTGTATATCTGCTTATTCCCATTTTATTAGGTTTTCTATCTGATCGTCTTACTGTAACCTACTTTCTGCCTATTAGATTTTGACCTTCGTTTCTGTTTTAAGCTACCGAATTAGGTAATCAAGGTAAACTTATCGATCTACACTGAAAATTAACCAATATATGATGCCTTCTGTGTGCTGACACAGTTTACCATGGCTAAAGTTCAAATAAACTAAGGTATAGTTAAGGATAGCCGGAAAAACATGGAGTCAATCATTAAAGTCGGTGGCGTTTTCTTTGGACATATGTACGCAAACTAAGTTACTCAATAGAACTCATAGTATACAGAATTAGTAGTCATTGACCCCCAAAAATTTAGTTCAGTAACCAAGTTAAATTTCATATATGTAGGATCGAATCACAATTTTGATATGAAGGCTAGTGATACTGTCCTGTTGTCGAAACCGGAGATGGACCCGTTGCCGCGATCTCAGCGAAAATCTTCAAATAACTAGTCCAGGATCCTGTTAACCCTGTTTTTAAGCTTTTGGTATTTGGGAGAAGTCATGAAGTAGTTTGTATGTTTTGTGTTTAGAAGTTTATAATTTACGCAGTACTCATAACCAGTGGTTGGAGATATCAAGCGATACGTCATAAAAGCGACCTCAGTAATATAGTTGGATTTATTGTCTATCTTCCTTTAAGTTTGGAGTTAGGTCTAATCCTTAACTTTATATTCTTCGATTTTTAAACTTTCTGAACTGTTTTTTTGCAGATATCAGGTGAAATGGCTCAAAATCAATTTTAGTGACTCAGACTCATTTACTCTTCGTCTTCTCTAAGATCTTGAGTTTTAAAATCATCTTTTACTCTCTTCTTCTGCGAATTTATTCTCTCTTTTGGAATCATATTGTCTGTGATTGATCACTTCTATTTAAAATTTGTCCTAATAATTTCATCTCGTTGTACTGATATGCCATGATAGCTTGGACTAATGCATAAATGTCTCTGGTTTTAAACTACTTATAGCTGACTGACTCTAAAGTGCATTTCTAATGTTTATTTCTCCATTTAAGTTAGGTTTGAGTTACGATGTATGTTGTTTCGATATGTGGGAAATGTATCGATGCACACTCGCAATAGATTTTACTTTGATGTTCACTGATTGACTAATTAAAAAAATTTCCACCTTCATAGATATATTCACCTAATTATCCGATAGTTGTGCTTAGAATTTACTACTTGATTTTGCCGACGTCTTCTACAGTATTTGACAGATGAATATCTCCGTCATCATTATCTTTCTCAACTTAACAAGCTTAACACTAGAAACGATCATATTTCCTAGCAATTGAAGTTATGATCTCACCTTGTTCACTCTTATTTTTTCATTATTTCGAACTCTACAAGACATTCAGTTTAGTGTGATCTTATTTCGTCCTGATCTCCACTAGTTATTCTACTACTTTTCCTAAATATTAATATAGGACCCCTTCGGTGGAAACAGCTCGTCAGTTAGTTTACCTAAATGGTTGGGATAAATTATTCGATCATATGGAAATATATCCAAACAGTAAAATTGTTCACTTCCAGACGTAAGTTTGAATCTATCTTATAATATATATAAATTTTTCAATGTAACAAATTGAATTTACAGGTTGTTAACGTACACTGATGAGGATTCCTATACTAGGAAAAACTAGCTATCCAGTGCTTCCTAGTTCGATAGGGAATGCTGCTGAGCGGCCTATGGTCCTCCATAAGGGGTGACACGCCTGAATAAGTAGGCTTCATGGTTTTCAGGAGTAGTTTGACCGAAGTTGTTCCATTGTTTAGCTCCAATTCCAATATTCTCCACAAAATCCTATGGTAACAGTAACAGTGCTTACTAGTGACTAATTTCGAGAGGTAATTCCCCGGAGTTCCAGTAAAAATGCCATGATCAGCGGTATTTAACGATATTGAGCCTCAGACAAATATCGCCAGTGGAAGTGGATGATGGTCGCGCAATATTGACTTAAACTCAAACTGTAAACAACTGGATGCCAACTCATTGGTCTGAAAGTTAAGAGTTCACTGCTATACTCGATGGTCGTGGGTTTGATTTCTCGTTGAGTAGTAGATGCACATTGTCGAGGAGTCCCATAATAAGACAAAACAACTGTTTGGTGCTTCCTGGTTTTCAGTGGTAGTCTAATCAAAATCATTTTGTGGTATGAAACTTCAAATTCACATTAAGGCTGAGATTTTCAAATCTCAACCCATAAAAATACACCATCTTTCCCTATACAAATACATGTTAGATTATTCCAAATTACTGTGATTAACTAACCAATCAAAAATAAATAGTTTAACGCACTGAGAATAATAACTACTAATTTGATCTAGAAATGAGCTGTTGTAAATAAAAATGAAAGAGAAAAATACTAGAGAATTAATCTAATTCAAAAGCATCTACACCTTGAAGTTAAAAGTTATTTGGTAATTCTCTCTTTTTCTTCATATCCAACATTGAATTAATGTGAAATAGAATGAATTTCAGTTAAGCGTACAGTTTTATGGTTATCTAAACATGTGTTGTTTTTTGTTACAATAAAATTAAAGTCACTTGACAAAACACAGTGTGATAGTAGTAGTAGTCGCAGTGTAGTGAAGGAGAACACAGGTGAGGACAACCGAATTGTATTCAGCACAAAATTACAGAGTTAATTGGTAAAATAGAAAAACGATATAGTAAATCGTTAATTTGCAAAATATCAATGCATCATATCAACCTGGACTGTTCTTGTTGCAAACATTAATCAATTGTTTCACATTTCATTGTTCATGCGTTTTCTTACCAATATCATTGTGTTGTCGCTCTTCCTTTCTTGATCTTTCCCCATCCTCTTCTGCCAGACATTACGTTCTTTAACTCGCGTCATATACTACTTATATCAATATAAGTAGCACGCACCACAGTAGTAGTGGTAGCGAGAACAGTTTTTACGCTGTATAATACAGCAGTGATAAATTCTAACTTTATATATTATCTGAGGAGTAGTAGTACTTATTGAAAGTTACTTTTTTTCTGGTAAAGAATAAATCACATTTATTAGTAGTAGTGATATTCATGTGGGCTTTTTCTCTGTAAAAGCTACTTTTTGTCTTTTAACGGAACAGCTATTACCGTTTCATCACTGTAAGGATATATACATGTTATTATGATTATTATCATTTGTTAAATTACTCATGAGTACCAAATATAGTAATAAGCTTGTAAATTCTTTGTACCTACTCTACATTCATCCTATATATTTGCTAAGGAGATCACGGGATTAGTCAGTCTTTGTTGTTGTCACTACTTTTAGCAAACTAATTTTCTGCGCTTTAGAGTCGTGCTTTTACTACTATGTATATTGAGTTGTACTATTTCAAGCTGTTTTGCTCAATGTCAAGTTTTTCTGAGACTTTTCCTTTTTGTGCTCATAGCTAAATGTTAAAGCGTTGTGTGCCGGTTGTCGTTATCGATTTCGCAATAGGACCATTCATATCAGGGATAGTTCAATCTTTCCTTAATTCGCAATTTGTTAGGTTTGGTTAACCTTGAGGATACTACTGATTCGACTTATTCGGAACGGAACGAAGGCTCAGGATTCAGAGACTCAATAGACTATTCTGGTCCGTTGTCTTCGACTCAGCTAACTCGATCAAGAAGTCTTGGTAAGGCGTAGAAAGTGTATTCTACAAGCAACAGCAGATACCAAGTCAGGCAGGCAGATCAGATCAAGCATACAAGTCAAGCGTATTTATACAAATATATATCGATTTTGTCATAGGAAATTCTTTTAAACAATAATCAATGAGTCATCAGTTGTCTGCTATTTAAAAATTTAATCGATAACTTCATCAACTGACTGCCATTCAAATATTTAAATTTTTAATCAATAAGTTAATCGATATGATAAAATTACAAATATGGATTTTGGGAATATACCGTCCCCAACACAATTATCGTGGCCCAACTGAAAACTCCAATGAACACAGTCGTTTTTATTAAGATTTAATAATATTGTGGTCTGAGCCCATACACGTAGTATGGTTACTGTTTTATTCTTACATTTTACGAAGGTGACTTTTTAAATTAGGTTATTGTAACTTCTTTCCTTTAATGTTGTACATTTAGAGTATATATTGGGACATGTTGGTTATGTTCGTCATATATTTATCTCATTGAAAATCAGCGTACACTAAACATCCGTTTCGTCTTGGTATGGGATTCCTCAGCCGTCTACACCAACGAACCCGCCAGGGATCGGAAGTGGGACTTCCACCTCCCTCACCAAACTCCTAACCATTGAAATCACTAACCAGGTTTATTATCCCGAGTGTTGACTCTATGTCGAATGGTAAACAATAAAGCTAATGAAGTATCGTAGTGTCTGGTACCATGTCAAGTTCACATGGGTTATTCTGGCTTCCCGATAGACCAACTCATTCATTCTTCTTGACCTTGTTAATTATTCGCTTATTAACTTTGACTTTTTATATAGGCTTGTGTGTGCATTACTTATCCTACTCATCACATGTCTGTGGCTTATTTTTGTCTGACTATATATATTGAGTCGCGCTTGATCGAATTGGGTTGGCTCACTCTCCTTCTTCGCTTCTCTTTGATTTCTCGCTTTTCATTCTGAATGTCTGTCTGGATCAACGGGTGTACGAAATATAGCTATTCGAAATCCATTCTCGTATTTGACTTATTTCGTTATTTTCTAACGTGAATTCCGTCGATAATTATGAACGAGGGTAACCGGGATGTATATTTCGATAACATCATCATACGATCTGACTGGAGTCAAATTAATGGGCTACAAAAGTATGTATCTCCTTACTAACTTCGTATGTAACCGCAACGGGAAATAACCGAATGCAAAATGTATGGAGAATACTTGTATTTCGAGCATCTAAATAGTAGAAAAGAAACGAAGCTCATAGTAAGTGAATTTGGAAAATAGGTTTCATAAAAGATCATTGAATTAAGAGTGACTTAGCTTTAATAGTCAAATGACAACTTATAAGATACACAGACAAATATTTACTAACGTCAGGACACAAATCTTGTAAAGGATATTATTCTATAC